AATAGGAAATCAAGCATTGAATAAGGCACTTGGCCAACCTGGTAATGCAATAGTCAAATTAAGAGCTATAGAGGGTTTTTGGGATAAAGATTAGCGCATAGCAGGTGGTTGTTCTACTAATATTGCTGTTAATGTACCAAATGCTAATAATGGTACTACATAGTTGTAGCTAGCATTTGTTTCAGTCAAGCTATATAGTAGCTAAAAATATATTTTTCTATAATAGAAGAAGAGCTTCGGGATTTGCAATATGGAACAATTAGAAAAGAAAATATGACTATAGATGAATTATATAGAAAATTGTTACAAATAGGTAGACGAGCTAACTATAGACCCGAAGAATTATGTAATAAGTTCTTGGATGCTCTTCCTATTCCATGGCTTGAAAAAGCTAAGGATATCAGTGAATATTTGCCATTAGATGAATTAGCTAAAAAGCTTTATGAGATAGAGTTACAACGAATTGCTAGACATAAAAGAGATAGAATACCTGATCTGCTAGTATCTTAATGAGCATCTTGAAAAATAGATAAACCCTTACCCGTTTCAGCTCCTCAACAGCAAGAAATTTCTTTAGAAGATATGCAAAAAGCAATCCAGAATGTACTAGTACAACAAAAAACTGAAAACCAGACATTAGTAAAGAAAGTTACAGAATTAGAATTTCAAATGGCTAAGCAAACTGCTCCCAAACTGTTGAACCAGTTAGACAGCCAAGAGGTCCACCATCTTTATTACAAACAGAAGAAGGTATGGGAAATTATCACTTATCACAATTCTTAAATAATTTAGATATATTTAGTACAGAAGATTTAGAGAGAAATTATTCTATAAAACCTTTTCAAAGATCTCACCTATAGTGAAGCAATATCTCTGCTAGAATTGATAGAGTAGAGGAGAGGATAAATGAAACTCGTAATACAGTAAATCAATTAACCAATCAATTTCAAAAACTAAATATATGTAAATGTGATATTTGTGAAGAAACAGATCATAGTAAAGGTAGTTGTCCCAATAGACAGATAGCATGATTTAATTTTAATCAGTCTGCTTATTTTAAGCCTCTTATACCTATAAATTTCTAAAACACACCCCCAGGTTCAAATAATGAGGAAGATGGTTATGATGAATAAAATAATAGATAGACCATGTATGATTTATCTGTAAAAAAAAAACAGGTACCAATAGGAAATAACCAGCCTAAAATATATAATTAGCTATTGTCTAAGTTTTTACTACCGATCTAAAAAATATGCTTGTTTTGAAAGACTCTAGAGAAGGAGTTAAAAAAATCAGATGAGTGGTTTTCATCTTTACAGTACTTGCATTGTAATATAAATGATCTAACAATTCCTGATTCTTTCTTAGATACCAGAAGTGAATTCAGTGCAATAAATAATTCAGCAATTCATACACTTGGATGGAAGATTGATGAGCCATCTGATTTTGCTATAAAGAGAAATTCCAAACATATTACTAATTTATTAGGATGGTACATAGATATGCCAGTTACTCTGAAGGATAAAGAAAACAAGACTATCATAATTATTAGAAATTTTGTTTGTATTGATAATGGCAAATTTGAACCAATGCTATTTTTAGGTATGTCAAATATTCGAAAGCTTCAAGGCATTTCCAAGCCAAATAAAAACTAGGTTCACATAAAGTTACATGGGAAAACCTATGTTATTTCAACATATAACAAAGCTTCAGTAGCTAAAGATCTGCCAAAAGAGGAGCAGAACCAAGTATTTACTGATTTCTCTAGCCCAATTAGTGAAGATTTAAAAAAAAGTGTGTAAATTGCATAAGGCCATGCAAAATTAATTAATTGGTTTTCATAACCTGGCTAGGCCAAAATTTGAAAACTTTAAAAAAATTTTTTATAGGTTTTAATAACCGGGTAGGTTTTGAAAAAAATTTTTATATAAATTTTATAAAATTTTATATATGAATTTAAAAAAAAAGCCGGTTGGCCGGGTCTATTTAAAAGTTTCATGTTATGAAAATCAAGTAATTAAATTTGTATGGCCTAAATTATAAAAATATAGCAATTCGTATGAAAGAGCTCAGAAAAGCATTATTTTCTAGTATTCAATCGAATTTGAAAATCATAGAATACTATAATAGTTTGCTTAAATGATGTGAAACCCTGCCTTCTCCCAATTTTTGCTTGAAGCCAGAGACTAGGTAATCAATTGAGAGGTTCACTTGTTTTCTGCCTTCGAGTGATGAAATCATGAGAAGGCAGGATAAGAACATGACCAGATGCTCTAATTTTTTCTATATTATTATTAGTTCTCTTAAATAATTTCAAGACATCTTCAGAGAATTCAGCAGGTGAAATAATTTTTTTTTTTGTTTTAGGCATTAGCTAATTCTGAGTAATATTTGGTTCAGAGATGCTGGCGGACTTGAAATAATCCCCTTGGGACCGTTTCTTTCCTCCAGTCTTTTTTGCCCTACTGCTTGCACTTTCTTTTGAAACTGGATCAGACTGTAAATCTGTCCTATTCTGTTTAGCTATATAATTTGTACTCGAATAAGAAAGTGTAACTGCTGAATAGTTCCATTCGACTCTTTCTATTTCCTGCCCTCTCCAAAATAAAAAGTTGATATATGGAATTTTTTTTTTAATTGATCCAAAGACTTGGACTTCATATCTCGGTATTGCATGATATTTTCATAATCTGCTATAGATAATTTCATAGCATTGGAACATATACCTTCTGAGTGAGGGATTGATCATATTGGTAGTCGATCAGTTTTTATACTATTAATAAAAAATCTGTATACAAAATATTAATACTATATGGACTATATGCATTATCAAAACTATGTGGACTATGCGCATTATCAAAACTATCTAAAGAACCAGTATTATGCGAAGTATCAGAAGGATTAATTCTACATATAATATGAAGACTATTTGTAGTATTAGTAAAAAATATATATATAAAAATTTTATCCATTTATTTACAGAGAAGTTCAGTATATAAACTATATATGCTTTCTATTTCTTTATCTCAGTTAATATAATCAGATTTTTTTTGGTAAAGTAACAGAGTATAGAATTTTTCTTGACAAATTTTGCTTACAGGCTATAAGGAAAAAGTATATAATATATTTTTTATTTTGAATGCTTATATCACAATATGCTTCTGTGAAAGATGGTTGCATTAGATCTTAGATATCTATGCATAGCTCTTTTTATCGGCATTGCTTAATATTTAATATCTTTTTTTTCTCTACTTCATAGCCAGCCTATAATTATGTCCAATGTGCACACATTAAAAAATATCGAGAATAGAAGTTATCAGCTTGGTAGCATCTGCGAATCAGAACTTGAGAATGCATTGCATAGTAGTATCAAATCTGCTTCTGATCTTGCTAATGAATATAAAGATCTGCAAGGTATATATTTAAAGCAAAAAAAAGAATCTTGAGCTAGTTCAAGCTGATACTAGAAAAAAGATTAGCCAGCTAAATGCATCCAATACTAGGCTTAAATCTTCTAAACGGTCATTCCATACTGAAATCCAATTGCTCAAATCTGAGATTAAGGGTAGAGGGTACACAAATTACTTTTCATAGTAATTATATTGTAGATCATTTTATAATAGCAAATCAATTGTGTCTATATATTATTTATATTGTACTACACAAGTAAATCTTGTACTACCCAAAAAAATTTCCTAATAACAAATCAAATAATTATCATGTGATACTCTCTACCTTTAAAACACTAAAGAGAAAAGTGATCTTTGCTTAGAAAGTTCATCCCTTAACAAGGATAAGATTCTTTGTCTTAAAGGTGAAATAGATAAACTGAAAGCCAAAGTAGAAGAATTAGAATTGGAAATAGAATTAGAATACACATCTCATGATTCAGATACCACTTCATTTAGGGATAAAATAAGTGAATTAAATTCCCTTAATCATATATTGGAGCAGGAAAAAGATGATTTAAATTCAAAGAAACATGAATTGAAAGCCAAGATAGGGCGTAAGGATTCTGAAATCACCTCTCTTGAAGCTAAAGTAAATGAGCTAGAAAAAGTAGAAAGAGGTCTAATATGTAGATATGGGTTAATTAGCTGTTTCAGACTAGAATAAGGAAATTGAAAGATCAGTTAGAACAACAAATATTCCAGTCATCTCACGAATCGAACATAATTGGTAGAGCTGAAGCAGATCCAAACTCAGCTAAGAACTCTTTGGAAAAAGAGTTTCTTCCTCAAGAAACCAATACTCATTTAGCAGAGCAAATTTTGAAAGCATCTAGTGAGTTTAATGAAGTGATTGGAGATGATAGCAAACCAGAGAAAGTTAACGAAATCACTAGCCCTGAAATAATCTCAGTATTACTCAATTCCTTCTTTCAGCAGAATGCTGTTTTCATTATAATAATATTACTAATTATATACTTCCTATAGTATATATTCTCTTATATATATTCTTTTATTCCACTCCCTAATAAAGAAAAAAATATTTCGAATTATAAAATACTCTTAGATAGAAATTAGAGTTATGGATTCCCAATCTATTATGCAGAAAAACTTAAAAACAAGATTACCTCTAATAAAACTTTTCCTTATAAATATTGATAAGGCTACAAAGCATACTTCATTATGCTGTATTGGGCATCCAGCAATGTCATGGCCATTTGCTAAGCTAGTTACAGGAAAAAGTAGCACAGGTAAGACTAATATACTCAGAAATCTTGTTCTTGGTAACAAAGCTAAATATATATATAAAAAGAAAAAGAGTGGATCTAGATATATATGGTGTGATGATTTGATAGTTTGTGGATATCATCCGGATGAACCTAAGTAGGCATTTGTTAGATATATGTATGGAATAATTACAAGTAATCCAAGAGCACCATATTATGAAAATATTAAGTTTAGTTATATCTCACCTGAAAAAATTCCTAGTGTAAAATCATTCTCACCAGAGAGAAGTATGGTGATTATTTTTGAGGATCTATGCATTGCTCTAGAGTTAATACAAAATTTGATTATTCCATTCTTTACACATAGATGCCATCGGAACATTAGTCCAATTTACATAACACAAAAATATCATCATGTTCCAGTAATTATTCGGGAGAACCTTTCTCATTTAGTAATATTTAACTCTGATAGCTCACATGAAAACATTTCTAAAATTATTCAATGATATATTGATGATGTGAAAAATACTTTCATGATTATTAACAAATACCTCTTAAGGGAGAATTTATTGTGTTTGATCTAGACAGGCCAGAAGATAATCCACTTGCAATTCGGTTAAGGTTTGATACTCCACTAGATTTGCAGAAAGAGATAGAGTTATAGCAAAAGCACAAGATAAAAAATGCATTACCTACTGAGCCCACTTCATAGATTTTCGCCGAAGGCTGTCACAAAGTGGCTATCTCACATTGGCACTGATTTTTTCTCATATTTATTCGAAAAAAAATATATTACCCATAGGGTTCCGCAAACTCAAATCAAATCAAATATTAGATTAATTTAAATTTGATTTGATTTATTCGAATCAAATATTAAATTAATTTGAATTTGATCAAATCAAATCAAATCAAATAAAAAGCTAATTTGTATTTGATTTGATTTAATTTGTTATTTGATTAATATGATTCATGTAACGAAGGTTTTGGAATTCTCTATTTCAAGAGCTCATTACACATAGCTTGTGCCGAGTGCTTGAGCATACTCTTAATATTTCTCATAATTTTCGCTAAAAAAAATCTATAAAAAGTTTTTTTTATTCAACAAGCTGTCAAAGCTTCAGCTTCAGTTGTGCCGGCTTTGAGATCTTTTAGCTTTTATAGTTGTTACTAGACATTCTCAATATATTAAGCCTTCTCTTGTGATCTTTCTGAGGTTTAGACCTTTCAAGATCTTTTAGATCTTTACTATGGTCGTGAAATCTCTTACTCTCGGGCTTACACTTGATTGGTCTGGTAATTGACAAGTTGCCTAACAATAAGTCTCCAGGAGTAGACGGGTTCACTTACGAGTTCTATAAAAATACAAAGGAGCTAATATTTTCAGTATTTACAAATCTATTTAATAATGTTATTGAAAAGGATTGCATATCCAACTCATGAAGCATAAGCCTTATTACTCTAATTCCAAAAAAAAACAGATGATCTGATGAATATTAATAACTGAAGACCTATTTCCCTTATTAATACTGACGCAAAAATCTTTATGAAAGTCCTGGTGAACAGACTAAACACGATTTGTGATACCATAATTGGACCAGCTCAACAGGCTTTTATTGCCAAAAAATCAATAGCTGACTCAGCATCAGATATTTTAACAGTCCTTAGAAATCAAACAGACCAGTCTAAGCAACATTGGCTTCTTTTGTTAGATCAACAAAAAGCCTT